ACATAAAAAATTGAAAAGCTTTTATAACATAATAACTTATAGTTAAACGGTAAATAGTAATTACATAATATTATTATTATGTAATTACTCTTTGCTTAGAGTAATTACACAATAATAATATTACATAAATTGACATTAGACATTTTGCATAGATGACATGTTTATTGTTTACGATTAGGTATATTAACCAAACACAATAGTTGTTTTTTTTTTTGCGAATTTTGTTATGATATGGTGATGAATTTCATCACAAAGACAGCGAGTAAAAGAAAAACAGTAGAAATAAATTAATTATAAAAAATCTTAGTACCGTAGCGTCCGTACGCAGTGTAAATAACTTTGTATAAATTAAAGTAACCTCGCACCCTCGCACAAACTGTTCGATAACTAAAGTAAATCCAAACATTAGACCAAGGCAGACAGTCTCTCGTAGCATAGCAATGGTCAAAGCAAGGGTTATTGTGAAGTAAAGAAATTAGAAATCGAGGAAAGTTAGAAATCAAAAATTATAATCGTATTTTTTTTCGTAATTTTTTTGACTTTTGACAACTTAGTAAGAAAGAAGATAATAACTTTGTTTACATATCTCATTACTATTATTTATAACAACCTCGTAACGGTTTCAAAATCTGCATTTCTTTTTATCTTTCGAATTGCATTTATCTTTAAATAACTAACTTAATATTGCTGTCCTGTATCCAAAGGCAGTTGTGCCGTTTCAGCCAATTATTCGCTAGACTCAAAAAAGTATATCTCTTACGATTAGAAATTATTTTTAAATCTAAGACAGTTATACCCAGAATATACGGATTTATGTTTGGTGTGCATAAATCTTAAATCTAATCTTTTCTAGGCACCTGAACTATTCGGTAGTTACGACGTAGACGGAATTTATTGCCCTCGTGCCGCAGACAATACGATACGACCCATAAGCTTACCTTCAACTTGAAATAGGCTTACGTGAGCTTCGTCTATAGCTTAACATCGCTCGATTTCATTATTTAAACGAACGCGTCAAGGCTTCGTTCGATTAGTGTTAGAATGTGTAACCAATCTGTTAGAAGTTACAGTATATTTAAAAGGTAAGCCGACATCAAAAAAGGAAGAGGTTCTGATTTCAACTGGGTTTTGGTATTCGTCAGTTGTGAACAAATTTTGAAGACTCTTTTTTATATAAATAAGTTATTAGTTATTACTTCAGGGGTAGTCTTGTACAAATTTTGACAAATAATCCTACTCTTAAAGATGGACAAATAAAAGATGAAGTTTATAATAATAATTTGTACGATATTCTGGTTTTTTTTCTTATATTGAACTTGTGATGTACATTTGTCCACTCAAAAGGGTTAAAATGAAACGTAATGTTTTATTTTTATTTTACGGCTCTTTTAATGGACAAACGATTAAACGTTTAGATCTATCTTTTTACACCGCTTTTCGTTATTTTTATTTACGGAACCGTAGAGTGTAGACTATATATTTTGTTTAAAACCTGTCCGACTCTTCATCACTCAAATCATCAGTCACTTCTTTGTGGTGTTGGTAAATCCAATCAGGCTGCGATAAAATCCTACTGCAAATCAGGCGGAGCTGTTCAAACGAAAATATATCTCGACTATCTAGGCGCATTAAAACATGCAACTAAATAACGGGATACCCGTGCCTTGACTACGCTGCAACTTTCGGCGTAATCAAGCCGTTGGAAGCGACTCGAGTCAATGGGCGTACCTCTTGAACAACCATGCCACGGTTCTTGTATCTGTTGGGAGTTTCGTCACCGTAGCTGGTATTGGAATATATAATATAAGAACTATCTCGTTATAATAATGTCCTCAAGACATTTCTATGGTTTCTACCATGGAAATTGCTCACAAGAAATGTACAGAATAATTTCAGCAGTTAAATTTCACCATCGTATATCGCAACAAAACTCGCGATACCAACCGTACCGTCTGCATGATGGGGGATCCATCACTGTGCGGTTTGCTAGAATTTTTCTTCTTCGTACTACTTCCTTGTGTAATCGACTACCACCAACGACTTATTCGGACCGAAACGACTTAGGGTCCTTCAAGGATAGAGCCTTCTCCTTTTTAAATTGCCAGCGTCATATCTGTAATTCACCTGGTGTTGCAGTTGTTTATGAGAGGCGGTATTCACTTACCATTAGGTGAGCCTATGCTCGTTCGACCCCACTTTTATATAAAAAATATGCCGATTTCGATAACATTGACAACGTCCAAATATTATCTCTTTATTCTTCAGTCTTTGTCTATGGTCATGATGGTTTCCTAAAAATTTTGCTCAGGTCTATGAAGAGCATTAACCATTTTCAGCTGCTTATTATAATTCTTTACGACTTAATTCCATATATTTTTTTAATTTTCTGGAAGCTTTTAGAAAACAAATAGAAATTAACAATCTTGCCAATTTTCTTTATTGCTAGGTTCCGTAAAAGTTTTGCAGGACATGGGCTTATTCCGGTGTAGCCAGAATCCACCTTAGTGTAGCAAACGTTTGGCAGGTAAATTACTGGGTTGACCGTCGTAGTACAAGATGTCACGTACTATTGACGTTGCTCCTTGGTAAGTTGACATTCAGGTCAGGCGTAAACAAGATGATTATACCGCCACCTGTTGGAAGGCTTGTGATTTTCGAAGAGATTCCCACAGGACAAAATTGGGTGGAGAATTCTCCAGTAGTGGCGCCGTTAGAGAATTCCCCACCCAACGAACGAGTAGTCGTAGGATCATATTCTTCTACTTCACCAGACCGTGAAAATCCACTGCTGAACTTGGGCCTTTCCCGTTGTAAGGAGGAGTCGTCACGCTTGACGTGGGGTCATTACTACAAAACTGACTTCACAATTAAAGGCTGTAGAGGCGAACTATCCTAGCCCTAATAGGTGACAACACCTTTTAATTTATACCTGGTGCTGTCTTCTTTGTTTGAAAATAGCCGCATTAGACATTTATCGTCAAAAATCTTAATTTTAACAGAAAACGTCTGAGCAAAAGAACTTTGTTTAAAATAGGTCAAATGATTTGAATGATTATCGAGTTTAAGCAAGTGCCTTCAGATGAGTGGCCACTTAAAAGACCTGAAGCATTTTTAGTTTGACCTGTATTGAGTTGGAAATCTTATTTAAAGAAAGAAGGGTACTTTAAGAATCCTTAAAGAATTTTCATTTTTAAATATTTTTTTTTGTATACTGTTAGTATCGTTACAGATAAGAAATTTTATGAATTTTTATGGAATAAATGTTATCCGTTTATACAATTATATTATTGAGATAATGTATTTAATTACAGTAATAAATTAATAATTTAATAAAATTGTTATTGGATGGATGGATTTATTCGCGTGAGTTATGTTTTGCTTTAGTTATTTTACATTACATAATTTCCAAATAAAAGCTTCTGAAGTCGAGCCAGTAATTCGTCTTAATCTAATATATGATAGAGCCACGTTGCGGCTATATTATTGTCGTAGCATGAGTGAGTCGACTTAACCGGGGAAAGACCACGCTCACACAGAATACCAGCGTAAAATAGCAGCTTAATGCTGCTGTGTTTTTTATGGTGAGTGTAGAGAACCTCAGTCCTCAGGGGTGACAACGTATCTGCATTTGATTCTTAATACAGGATAAATGTAGGTATCTTTGGTCCACATCATCCATTTATTATCAGATGGACTGTGTGCTCGTTTGTCACCCTTGTTCTAAAAGAAAACACTGTCTTAGTATCGATCTCTGAAGCTTTTATGTGTAAATTATATTATTTTCTTCTATTTTACTTCGTTCTTTTATTTTTTTGATCCTTTTGAATATACTAAAGTATATAACAAGTTCAAGGTAACAATTAGAATTTTGTCTAAATAGTTACATTAAAAATTTATCCCATTATACGTCTCCAAATTTTTACGAGACCATTCTTGAATTGTAACCTATTTACAAAGAATAATTAAAATTGGTCCACAATTGACGCAGTTGTCACGTAACATTCGTACAAAAAAAAAACGAACGAAGTTTCCATAGAAAATAGCCTTTTCAAGTTTATATTAGGATAAATAAGATATATCGCGTCAGTATAACTTTGTCGATAATAAATTACAAGGACAAAACATCGATATCCGTAATAATTTATTTGTAGGCCAAATACTTGTTCCGTGTGGGATTCAATCACGCTGCCCGCAGCGCTGCGGAAAATTTCAGCGCTGCCGGGCCTTAAAATATCGATTCACACTCAGATCTGCAAACTTGAACGTCGGACTTAGGGCCTGCGCTTACAGGCGGCACGGCATGGCACGGAATGGCACGGTATGACACGGATCCTGTGGCAAACCGCGTCGTGACAAAAGCAGTCACATCCGGGCCTGGAATCACCGCTGCAACGGGCTTGATTTAACTTTGTTTCAATTACTTACCCCTCACATTCCTTTAACAGCATGGAGTAACCTTCATAGGAACGGAAGTTGCGCTGCGCTGCATCATATGAAACGTCACGTGATACAGCGGCGTGCCGCAACATCCCATGGAATACCGTTACGTGCCGCGGCATCCCTTGGAATGCCGTGAAGTGCAGCAGCATGCCGCGTAGTTACGCGAGGCGTATCAAACTATTCGTGTTTAAATTAAGGAATGTCAGTGCTAAGATCATTAAAATAAAAATCGAAATTTTTTTTCCTCGAAAAAAAAATCATTTGACACGCTGTACCATGCCGTGTCGTCTGTGAGCGCAAACCCTTAAGAATACATTTTTTGAACTCCCATAAAACGAGATAGGAGTGGAATCTCCTTTGTAGACTACCTAGTGGAGCGAAATTACTATACAAATTGTAGTATCGAATCCAAAGCAAAATAAACTTAGCGTATTTTAGTTGATGTTTAAACTTCTGAAATACATTTTGGGAGCTTCAAAAACGTACGTCATCATTGCGAAACAAATTAGCGAAAGCAAATTTAGTAAATAAGTGTTTTAAAATAAGGTATCTTTTTGCAGGCGGACGCCAGTACCGCGTTTCTGCGGGCTGCGCGCGCCGGCCAGATAGAGAAGATCATCAATCTCCTTGAGCAAGGAGTAGACATTAACGTTAGCAATGCTGTAAGTATTTTTAATGTTTTATTTAATATATTTATTGTATTTAATGTATTATTATATATATTATTATAGTAATTTTAATTTATTATAATGATAATATAGCCCCGCGCCTTAGCCTTGGTAACTTATTGTATAAGTGCTGTAAATTTAACTATACACCAGTAAGTTCTCCGAGTGCAATCAATTTGATTTGATTACAATTTTAAGAGTGGATTTACCACATGCTTGGCAGTGAAGTAAAATATTGTAGAAAAACCTACATATCTGAGAAATAAAATGTTTTGAAGGCATGTGAAGTTAGAACTCACGCAATGCGGCATTGGGCAACGCGGCGGACATTTTTATTGCTCCAAATTCCTCTCAGAAAGGACATGGAACTTCTTTCTAGTAGTGGGTTTTAAATACTTTGGTTACAAACGAACTCAAAATCCGTCTAATGTCAAGTGGATATTGTAACCCTTGGATATCTACATCTAGTCTTGATTAAGAATTAAAATGCAGATAAGTTTGCAATCCTGATGAATAAGATGAAATGCATCGTTACCAGTGAAAAGTGCCGCTGGTTCGCTACACTCACCATACTAAACACAATTAGCAGCATAAAGATGCTATTTTACGTTGGTATTCTGTGAGAGCTTTGCTTTTTTGCTTATCTTCGCCTCTATGTTTAATCTTTTTAAATATCCACAGAGTATAGAATTGCGATCGTCAATATGATTACTAAACTTTGCGTTTAATAATTATCCCAGTTATTTGAAAAGTCCATTGACGCACTTGTGAACAAATGTGAACTTTTACGGGTTTCTAAGATTGAGCAGTAATTAAAGTAAAAATAAAGTAAAATAAATCATATATTTTACATGGTAGAACCACACTATACTATAGTTGTAGCAGGAAGCGTTGGCTTGACTGGAAAAGTACCCAAACGGGGAAGAACTCCCACACTGAATACTACCGTAAAATGCGATAAGTATATAGTATACTGCTGCTGAGTTTCGTATGGTAAGTGACGAAAACCAGATACGCTTTTTATGGGTAATATGATTCTTAGAAGTGACGATGAATCTGCATTTTAATTACTAATATAGCGAGGATTAGAATGACTATTAACTACAGCATCCACTTTCCGTTGGTTGGACTATGTGCTCGTTTGTCACCTTTTAATTAAGACAATAGAACCCATGCGAATACAGTCGACACGCTTAAGCTAACCAATTATGAAATGCTATAGATAAAACCCATATATGCTGTTTAACTCATATTTTCCCTTCATGCACATTGTTTCCTTGTCACAGAACGGGAATGACGTGTTAATAAGGAAATTGTTATTTCCTCACGCTTGCACCGTACAATATCCGTGTTAACCCCTTACATAATACTCTGGAGTTAGGTGCTCACTGTAAATTTCACAGTACGAATACCACATGTTCGGCGGCAAACAACTCGCATTGCAACGGTACGGTGGACTAATTGCTTTATATCAGAAACGAGAGAAAGCCTAGCAGTGGGATGTAACTTATAGGTTGTAGGCTATGCATCATCAACATTACAGCCCTTCACAAGTCTGCGGCCTTTACTTTACATTACTTTACCTATGCCTCTCCCAAAGAATGCCGCAGAACATTGTTCTGGCTATCTCTCTGATGTCCATCTGCATCCATAGACTTCCTGCATGTCTAACCAGGTCGTTACTCCATCTAGTGGGGGGAGGGGGGAGGGCAGCTTAATACTTCGCCTATCGGTACAAGGCTGCCACTCGATAACTTCGCCTGCTTGCTTCCCCATCGGTTGTCGGTACTTTGAGCTATATTGCTGGCCCATTGCCACTTCAGCTTACTAATCCGTTGGGTTATGTCGGTCACTCTGGTTCTACTGCGGTTATCCTCATTTCTAAGTTTACGCAGAGAAATCCCGAGCATAGACCTCTCCATAGATCGCTGAGCAGCCTTGAGTTTCCTCATCGGGTAGGCAGTGAAAGACCACGTCTCAGATCCATAATTCATTACTGGCAACACACACTGGTTGTATGATCTCGTTTTTAAGTTTTGAGGTATACTCAACGAGAAGATGTGTCGTAATCTCCCGAACGTTGCCCAGCCGAATTGAATTCATCGATTGATCTCTCGATCGCAGTTGGACTTTTCTAATCAAACTATTTGTCCCAGGTAAACATACCCGTCAACTAATTCGAGCTTAATGCATCTAACAACTACCGGCATAGGTGTTACATGGACTTTACACATAATATTTGTTTTGTTCATGTTCATCTTAAGACGTATCCGTTGGGAGGCATTATTGAGTTCATGGAGCAGTACTTAGGTTCTCCAACGATTATGCCAAAAATACTATATCGTCGGAAAATTGAAGGTGAGTGATAGGTGAGTGATGTACTCGCTATTAATGCGACGGTGAAGAGTTTCGGGATATAACGTCACCCTGTCTTACACCTCTCTGCAATTGGATAGGCTTCGTACTCTGGTTCTGTACTCGGATAGCCATCGTAGCGCTACTGTACAAACACTCCAGTACTTCGACCGACAGTCAACTTGGTACCGCTGAAGGGACTGCAGCACCACCCAAATTTCGACGGAATTAAAGACTTTCGCATAGTACACATGCGCAGAGCAAAATGGCAGATTGCATTCTTTGATCTACTGTACAATTTTCTGAAGGGTGTGTATGTGGTGTATGGTGTTGAAGCCTTTACGAGGGGTCTTACAGAACTTAGCTCCGACCGCATGGACAGTTTTCACCAGCTTGTCATTCATATCGTCCACTATATTGCAGTCTTCTTGGTACTCTAAACGATTTTGTAGCTCGAGCTGAAAGTTTTCGGGGCTTTGGATCAGAGCACGAGGGGACGAATCGTTGACTTCATTAGACGTGACCTCTCCAACTTAACATTAATGTTTAGTGTGCCTCTCACCATTGGATGATCGCTGCCAATTTTCACCCTCGCGATCACTGAGACATCATTGAACAGTTACCGTCTAGTCCTCATACTGAAGTCTGTCTCATATTTTGTCGAACCGTCACCTATATAAAAATATGTAATGTTTACCTCTTTACCAATTTAATCTAACAAAGTGGATGAAAAACAAAAACGAAATTTTATAAACAGACGATATTCAAGAGGCTAACAGAAGAATTTTCGCAACTTACAAGATGAAAGCGAACTTTTTTCGTTTATTTCGTCTCTTTTAGCAAAAAATTTGGCTAAATTATACGCAGTTGGTTAAACGGTCGAAGAAATACAGGAAAAGTACATTTTCATTATGAAACATAAAGAAAACTTGTTATATTCAATCCATACCATTCCTTCTGTAAACCTCTAACGTAGGATTATTTTTCCTCGTAATTTTATAATTCTTAAATAATAAGTACATATATGTCTTACATGATCATGTTATTTATTTATTCTTTTTTGGACACCACAATACAGAAACATCAATATAGTTAAAATTAATTAAAGTATGTCAATAGGCGGTCTTATCACTGAAAGTGATTTCTTCCAGACAACCTTTGCGTAGAGGAATGATGCAAACAAAAGTTACAAATAGAGGGGGGCATACAAAATAATAATAAAAAATACAATAATACATACAAATAAAAGTAAGTGAAAGTTACATATAATAGATTAAATGAAAAGAGTAAGAGAAAGGTAAAGTAATTTATCTAATAGCGTTCTAAATAATACGATTTAACAAGATTTTTGAAAGAGTGAAGAGATTTAGCACGACGAATATGGAGAGGTAAGGAGTTCCAAAATCGCACAGCGGTTACGGTGAAGGATTTATTGAAAAAGGAAGAAGAGTACAAAGGTGTAGAGAGAGAAAGATTGACTGAAGGAACCGATTATGGGTAAGAGAAAGATACTGGAAACCGTTTTTTAAATAAAGAGGAGTAGAAGGATTAAACAGCACACTATACAACGCGGAGAGAATGTGAGTATTCCTGCGAAGGCGGATCGGGAGCCATTTGAGCTGTTTGCGAATTTCGGAGATATGATCATATTTGCGAAGCCCAAATATAAATCTAATGCATAAATTTTGAATGCGCTAAAGCTTATTAAGCTGCTCCTCGGTAATGTCAAGATAGCAAATATAAGCATAGTCAAGGATAGGCAGAAGTAGAGACTGGGCGAGCGTAACTATAGTTGCAGTGAGAACGAAATTACGTAATCTACGTAAAGATCTTAACGCAGCAAACATTTTTCTACTGACCTCATTAACCTGTGGGGTCCAAGACATACGGGAGTCAAGATACAACCCGAGGTTTTTAACCTTGTTACTGTAAGGGATTAGAGTGCAGTCTAGTATAATAGGGGGTAGGGCAGACCAGTCAATTTTACCAATTAATCTTTTTAAGAGTTTTATTAGGATTAATCGTTAAACCATAACATTTACTTCAATTCGAAATACAATTCAGATCAGCGTTAATAGTTTCAACTGATTTAGATAGATCTTCAAGAGAGGACTGAGTATAGATTTGGAGATCATCAGCATACAAGTGGTAGGAAGAGGACAAATTATGACTTATAGAGTTAATGAAAATTGCAAAAAGGAGAGGAGACAACACGCCACCTTGTGGTACACCAGCAGCTGTAGTAGTCCAGGTGGAAAAAACCTCTTGCACCTGAATCGCTGTCAGCGACCAAACAAGTAACTTCGAAACCAGTCAACTACAGCTGGAGATATGTTGAGAGAGCGTAGGATGCTTAATAAGATATCAAAATCTACAGTATTAAATGCGTTACTAAAATCAAGCAACGTGAGAATGGTAAGCTTTGTTTCTCCATACCATACCGAATATCATCAGTGATTTGTAAAAGTGCAGTAGTCGTACTATGGCCAGGACGGAAACCGAATTGCAAGGGATTGAAAAGATTGTGTTTTAAAAGATAGGTGCTTAGCAGAATTCAGTGAATTATTCAGGATAGACGTGATTATAGGTAAAAGAAGATCAATGAGAGGGATGACCATTTTACGACTAATGCAGTCACTACCAATCGAATTTGAATGGATGGACATTATGGCTCTCTTTAACATCACAACTGTTAAATTGGCTAAAATTAAAAGCAGAGGTGTCCGGAGTGGGAGCTGTTGAAAGAGAGTCCAAAGTATTATGTTTTGCTTTATCGTTAATGCAAGATGAAGATGAGAATTGCAAATTAAGTTGATTGAGATCAAAGTTATGGTGTGTGAGATTTTGTCGTAATTTCCCAACTCCTAAGGACTTAAGAAATTTCCAGACCCTAGCAGGGTCCGGATCTTGTACTGATTCATGGATATGGCGTCGTTGTGCTTTTCTACACAGATTATTGCAACGATTCCGTACTAATCTATACTTCTCTCTATTCAAATCGCTAGGAAGTGACTTGTATTTAGCTTTGGCACAATTTTTAATGTGGATAATTTTTTTTTATATCATCGGTCAGCCAAAGAGAGGGAGGATGCTTTACATGCAATGGACGAACAAGAGCATGAACGTCATAAAGCTGAATTAACAGAGAGTTGAAAAAAGCATGATTGCGGTGCGCATGGGGCTAAATGGCACTCGATGTATTTTAAAGCCCACTTTTCACTGTGAAGACGAAATTATAAATGTCCCATCTAATATTGATTATGTGATACTTAAGTTTTATTCTAAGCAACACAAAGAATATCACGCTGTTGGCGGTGTTTACATACCACCAAATCAACCCTTAACTGCTTACCAATTATTTTTAAACTCTCTCCAAAATGAGCTTATGTGCAACGAAAAACAAAAATATATATTTTCGGGGACTTTAACCTACCCGATATTGAGTGGCTGCAGTATG